TTGGACCCTGGTTTAACAATATTTCAGTCAAATGGAGAAGCAACTGTGGAGGCATTTTAGCTCTTTAAAGCCTGGACCATGAAATAATTGAAAGAAAATTATATATTTTTTTAAATAAGAATGGTATTTGAACTTTCTGACAATTTATTTAGATGGTTTATTTGCATCAATAATGATACATTAAGCATTTCTATATAATGTTTTATACGTTCTCTGTTCAATAGATGTGTCTAATTTTGTAAATCATGGTTTTTAAGAACAGAAATATCTCACTGGTAATGCATAGGTCTCAAAAGTGTATCAAATATGATAAACGTGGCTTTAAAGGGTTGAAATAAAACACAAACACACACATTCCATGTGGCTTTTAGGAAGAATAATCATTGTGTGACTCAGAAAATAAAATGAAAGACGTATTATTGTCTTTAGTTCTAATAAATGTAAAATGTAATAATTGGCCATTAGCCGTCATCTTTGCTGAAAGAAAAAGAGGAATTTCAGCGCCGTGTTATGTTTGTTTTTCTGTAGGAATGACTTGCACGCTTCACGAAATAAACAGCCACAGGAGTAAAGATCATGAAGTTGAAATAAAGAGTCAAAAAATTACAGCTTCGGCACAACTTGATGATCATCTAAATGTGAAATGACCAAATTAGTTAAAAAGTGGCTTAAGGAGAAAAAGGGTCAGTGTTTTAAAGTAACCAACACAAAGACCTGATATCAGTGCAATAGAAAATGTTTAAGAACAGGTTGGCATACACACCGGACTCAATTACACCAGTTCTGCCAGGAGTTAAATAATCCTAGTAAATACTACAGAAGTTACAGTCCAACAATACATTTAACATGTATTTATTAATGCAGTGATAATTAAGCAACACTGCAACTGCAAAGAGATTCTTGGATGGAACTTTTGTTAGATATCTCCCTTCAGGTCAAGATGCTCATACAGAGTGGTAAGGACATAGCTAAGAGTCCAGAAAATGTGCGCTGGAAGTATTTGATATCGTCTTCATGATCAGCATTGTTACCACATGTACTTTTTTTCTTGAACTTAATCAAATTTGGCACTTCTAATCATTTTTGTGTGCTAAACAGACCAAAAACAGTAAAACATTAGAGTGACTAAACTTCACACAGTGAGGAAGGAAACAATGATGTGTGTCTGTGTGTAGGTGTTCACCTCCTCAGCTGTGTCGTCCTGCTTCTTCATTCCAGCGCACTTGGTGATGATGAGCTCATGGCAGCGCTTGTGGACGACGCAAGTACACACTGAAAGCATGCATCACAGTCACTACTGTGTTGCTTTAATTCAATTTAGGCTGCTACTGCTTCATTAGAAAATGGGGATGAGTTTAAATCCAACAAGAGGCTATCATAAGTAAAATTTTCTCATGGTCAAACACCTGGTTGACAGAACTTTGGGAGTTTGCACGTTTCCAGTTGCAAAAAGAACAATAGTCATGATGATAGAACCTAAACAAGTGGTGTTTCACACTCTTACTGAGGCATGATGCAAAGCTACAGGCTCTCTGTCTGTTAGGCCAACAACCTAGGAAGATAATTGTGTATTCATACTTATACGTTTTAAGATTCACAAAAGTAAACCCTTTTTAGAAGCTGTATGTTATTATTATTATTATTATTGGTAGTATTATAACTATTGTCATACATCTGTATACAGTGTGTTTTGTCTGCTATAATAATGTCTTATTTAGCGTCATCTGTAATTTAAAAAAGACAAAAATAGTTAAAGGCAAAATGACAAAGAAAATGTTTTGCAGTGTTTCTTTCCAATAAATATACGGAAAAGAGCAGTTGTGAGTACTGATCCTCCCAGCAAATACTTTTACTACACTTTACTTGTTAAACTTGGAAAAAAAGTACTTCAATTGAAAGATATTAAGCCGTTTCAGAAGAGTTGCAGCCATTTGAGTTATCAGTGAGTAGATCTGCAATCCAGGAAGCCCGGATTGAATTACTGATTAGGGCATTTAGACCTCATCGAATGCCAAATTACTTCCGTGATGGGGTTTCTAATTCCCACATATTTCTAGGGGGATTTGGTGACTCTGGTTTAACTTTTTACCAGTTAAAATGTTCACTAACTAATTATCAAATGTTCTGGTTGTACCAGATACTCAACTTTCTTTGTGTGCACTGAAATAGTCAGTTTAGTTTGCATGCATTCTTGCAAACTAACTCTGCACTGCATCTACTAACTATTGTCATGAATGGTGTAATACTGTAAATGAATGGCTCTGCGTGTTGGCTTCAGAACAAATCACATCTGTCACTCAGCAACTTGTAACCCTCTCCCATGTTCTCCAACTTCAATAATAAATGAAGTGCAATGCTATATGAGAAATTCGGACAGGGTACTCACCCTGACACTGATATCCCTGCTTCCCCAGCACACCCCTATCAGATCAGACAAAAAAAGAGACTTCAGCATCATCAGCCAGGCTGCTCTAATTAAACCCAGCATGGGTTTAATGCAAATTAGATGGAAAAAGATTTGTTTATGTGTCACCTACCATATAAAATCTCTGCAATGTGAGCAGTAGGTCGGCTGTCTCAGGTAGGTGGCCATGAACTTATGTCCGTTGACTTGGTGGACGCGTCTTCGAACGGCTCCTTGCCGCCGGCGAGGACCAATTCTCTCACGGAACACCCTCTCCTCATTCTCATTTGTCCCAGAAGCTGTGGATTAAACACAACCACAAAGGTTCTTTACAAGATCAAGAGTACAGACGGATATTTTCATGAGTAGGGCTGGGCAATTAATTGCATTTGCAATATAATGGCAATTTAACAAAATGCAATTTTCACATCTCAGAGGCTCTCAATTTTGGTTATATTACATTTAACAAGAGTAAGTAGCTAAATTTCTTATTCAGGCCTTTTAGGTGCCAGTAATATGCTTAAAGTGGTTTTGCAACCACACAGATGAGAAGAGAGAGATGCACCTAACTCGCAGATTCATGCCTGCAAATAGAAGATAGCACTTTTCCACACAAAGGTTAAGATAAAGTCCTGAAAATTTAATCAATCTGAAATAATGGTATAATCCTATTTTTCGTTTTTGGGCAAAATCATTCAGCCCTATTTAAAAAAAGCTGTTTTTGGTTTGTCAATGTATCATTGTTTAAACCCCTAGGGGGTCCACAGAGGTACTGCATGGGGGTTGCGAATGTTTTGGTTGATAACTTTTTTTTTTATATTCCCCCCCCTGCAATTTTTTCCACTAATTGAAATGTCTTTAAATACACTTTAACATGAATTCAACACACTGCAGTAAATGGATAAATGGAAGCAGAAGATGTCTTTCAGTCATTCAGCGATACACGGGAGCTTTTTCAAGCTGGGCACCGTTTCATTCACAACACCTGTCCCATCAACGAGGAATCAGAATCAGAAATACTTTAATAATCCCTGGGAGAAATTACATTTGTTACATGACTCCATCTGTAATAGAGTGACTATAGGACCAGTTTGATATAACACAACTTCATACTATATGTATAATTAGGGGGTCCCCGCTCCATCTTGCCATCAATTTGGGGAGTTCTTGGCCTGGAAAACCTTGAAGACCCATGGTTTAAAGGGTTAATCCAAGTCAAGTCCAAACTCTTTTATTCCAAAGGTCAAATCTTAGGTCACTTGAATTAAATCATGTCAACGTTCGTGTATTTCGGAGGGAGGCAGTTGACTAAAGTCTTTCCCTCCTAGCAGGAGGCTTTCTAAAGGCTTGAGACTTTAGAAAGTCTCAAGCCTTTCATTCCAAGTCTAGATCATGTCTCCCTCAAGTGTTTGAGGGACAGGGACATGTAGAAACTTAAGTTTTCAGCTCCTATTCATGTTAAGAATCATATCTTTTAGAGTTAAACTCAAGCATATGAGGGGTAAGTCCAAGTCAAGCCTGAATATTGTTTTATCAAATGCATTCCAATCAGTTTGCCCATCAAACTGCATTGATGTAAGTTATCAATTCAGATAATTTGCCTGCTTAGTTTTCAGGCCTGATTTTATACCAAGATGTATGAGGAAAGTTAATTTGTTCTAAAATTATCCGCAATCATTTACCACAGACTAAGGTTTGAGGGAATTTCTTGTGATCAGTATTATTAACCTTTTTAGCCACTGGTAGCACGGATTCAATAAACCTTCCCTGCAAAATATATCAAATGTATCGCAGTCGGAAGCCTGAATACTGGCTAAATTTCAGATTAAAGTATTCATACTGGTGGTATTAAGGATCAGTTTAGAGATCGGTTAAAGTGACAAGATTCACATCTTCAGTTGGCCTAGTTTGCTTTAAGAAATAGAACTTTAGACCAGGCCCAAAGGTTGCTGCAGATTTTTCCAGTGGCAGCAATGCCAGTCTGTCTCATATATTGGTCAGGATAAAAAAACAGGCCATCAATCAAATACCTTTAGTTATCCTATTCCCAACAAACATTGTGTACAACAATCTTCCATGTCTACTTATTCCCCTGCTGTCAACTTTTCACTGAATACCATAAACACCTGATTGTACGTTTGGGTATACTCAAACAACTGAGATATATTGTCTCATATCTGTCTTATATCTCTTCTTCTACTCAATAAGGTTTCTAGGTTGTGGGGGTAGAAACCTTGTGGTTAAGGCATTGTGCTTTGGTTGCAGAAGTTCTGAGTTCAAGCCCCACTCCCACAGACTTCCACTCTGAGTCCCTGAGGATGAGCCTTAACCCTACACTGCTCCCGGGATGCTGCACAATGGCAGCCCACTGCTCCCCAAGGGAAGGGGTAAATTCAGAGAGTTCATTTCATTGCTTTACACTTGTGACAGTGTAATGACAATAAAGCTGAATTCTATTCTTCCTCTCTTACTTCACATCCTCTTTTCCTGGTTTTGTAAATGAAGAACCAGAACGCATTCACACTGCAAGTGAGCTCATACAGGGGTTTAATAAACTGTGCCAAGACTGGCGTTAGCATTCAGGACACAATTCCCCATACGCTCCAGACTCAGGGATGTTTTTACTCTGCTGTGATCCAGAACCTGGACTATGGCATGCTAGTAAGTGTTTAAAAGGTTTGGTGGGAATGTATTGTCAAAGTCAAATTCCTAACTTGTGTCTTACCCTTTTTGATCTTTTTGAAAGATTTGAAGACTAAAATATGTTTGGAATGAGGAATGGCTTAGTATATCTCGAATCTGAAGAATTGAGAGAGCGACTACTAAAAGGACTATTGGGTTTCTTTCTATTTAGCAATATATCTAAGACTCGAGTTTAAATAGTCTTCACTCTTTGTTTTTGAAACTCAACCCACATCTTAATCTTTCCAAGTTCTTTCCACACTTATGACTTAAGCACTTCCACTTTAGTCAGGTAGAACTGTCTTCTATCTGCTGTTTTATTCTTAGACAACAGACCGTAGAAATAGAGATTTTGCATCATGCTGCTCAGGATGTTTAATCATTCAATGGCTTCTTATCCTCCTCAACAAATCCTCCCGCTATCAAAAAGCACCCCACACCTACCGGAGGCCTATGCATATATACATTTGAAAAGCTATTTATACTGCCATGTGTGGGCACAAAAACGAAGGACAGCATATTAAAATACTCCTCCTCGATGAACTATTTCCAACGAGTCCTTTTTACTTCCTTTCTACATCCCCCCGAAAGATAAATGCTTTCCAAGAGTAACCTTAAGACAAGAGTACCACCTCCACTAACTCCCACACACACTCCTTCCCTTGGCGCTCCTGTCCTAGTTAGCCTTTCCCTCACTCCCCCAGCGTCTCTCTCAAGGGTGCGCTGAGAATGTGGTTACTTCTGAGCCTCTCCAGAGTTCGATTACAGACAGGATGTCTAGGGACTTTGTGTATCTAGATATGAGTGTAAATCTTCATGTATCTGTGTGTGATGCATGTTGGTTGGAGGGGAACAGCAGTTAAATAGACCATTACGGAAATCATTTTGCTTTACATAATACATCATCCATCTGTCTCAGACACAAAAACGCACAGGCACCGAGTAGTAGAGGAGAAGAGGCCTAACAACCATTAAGAGTTATTGTCTTGGAGACGGGCGTACTCTGGACCTGAAGAACGACCATCTGGGAGATGGGCACCAGATAAACAGAAACGCGTATGTTCAATTATGACAAAAACAAGAAAGGTGCTGACAGCAAAAAATCATAGCAGAGGCTTCAGAAAAACAAAAATGGATTTTCAAGGCACAATGAGAGGACAATGGATGTAGAGAAAAGCTTGTGATGCAGTTGTCCGATACAATCTGTATTCCCACAGCACCGCAAAAACCTGGTTATATTAAAAAAAGAAAAGCTGTGACAAAATTTTGCAATGACAAAAAGGGACAATATCCCTATGCTTTAAAGGAAGCAACTTTTTTGAAGTCTGAGCTGTATTAAAGTTTTTTTTTTTTTACTTGAAGCCTTGTCATTATAATCCAGACTCTGATGTGAAAGCAAGAAAAGAAGAATTTATGCTTTTGTTATTTTGTATTGACAAGGTCTGCTAACAAACTGCTGCTCAGGCACGACAATCAATCAATCTTTACTGAAAGAGAACTTTTCATACACAGCAAACACAAAGAGCTTGACAGAAACAGGAGGCAATGAAAATAAAGAAACAAAATTAAGAGTTGAGGAAGATTAAGTGAGGAGAAAATTTCATGACTGTGAGTGGCACACTAAGTAGCATGGCTTTACTGCAATAGAGGTAAAGAATTTCACAAGAAAACTACCCAGTACCTTCTCCTGGTGGCTATTCTGGTTTTTCCATGTCGATAAACAAAGTACTCATAATCTTTCTAAAGCTAGCCAGATAGCTCTCACTGTTGAAATCCACAATAAATTTAATCTATTCTGAAACAAAACAATAACTGAGGTCTGGTGTAGGGTCGTAGATGCCTAAATGTCCACTAGGGTGCAGCTGGTTTAAGCAATTAAGGTTTTAAACGTGGAGGTGCCATGGTGGAGGGGCTTTAAACTTTCCAACTCTAGGAGCAGATTTCAAATGTAGTTGGGATTTTGCTGCCACCTATTGTGGCTGGGGCTCCAGCTTTTAGCTAGGAATATTTCATAGGGTGTACACCTTGGTGTATAACATCTTCAGGCTTTGCACGATGGGGGGTTCAGGGCTATCCTACCCTGGAAAATGTTGTATTTTAGACTCTCTGAAACGTTATTTCCTGAACTTTGAAGTGTAATGCCGCTAACTTTTAGTCTTTGTTCCAATACTACTGTTGTCCTGATTATGGGAAGTATGTGTGCTTGAGTAGAGGTGGAAATTTCATAAGGATGACATGAAATTATTTTTAGGTACAAGGTTTAATAGTTTAACTCAAACAATCAGAAATCAAAAAAGTGTCTGCTACTTAATTTTTGGTGCCTGTTCACAGGTCAGATATGTACAGATGCGTCTAACGCAGAGAGTGGCTTGGCTATGCTTGCTGTGATAAGTGGGTAAAAAGTAGCTTTAATATGTTTTTTAAGTGAGAAAGTCCACCTCAAAACAATGTCTGTGCAGTCAGTTCATCAAGATTATGATCCTGCCTTCAAATATTATTTTGCTGTCGGAGGCTTGCAGAACCCCACATACCGAGGGTGCGCTGTCACTGGGAATCCCCAGCAGCAGCTACCTCAGGCCAGGTCGCCTCTTGGGGGATTTTTCCCTACTGTTCCTGG